ATGGAACCCCAGACCAAGCTCTTCATGCTGGTGTCCCTGTATCTACTCCACCTATTCCAACAACGTGGGACAGGGATGAAGGGTTGAAAGGAACCACTGAGGCAAGTCTCAGCAGTGGGTGTCATTACTAGTTTACAATGAATGATCCTCTCCCTCCCACCCTCCCCACAAGTTGTAAGAAGCAATTTTTAGGTATGTCCCAGGTATTAGGTAAGCCTCTTTAGAACCAAGCCTTCTCATCTCATTTCTTTCTTTTTTTTTTTAAGTTTTTATTTATTTGAGAGAGAGCAAAAGAGCAGGATGGGGGGCAAGCAGAGGGAAGGTAGAAGAAGAAGGAAAGCAGACTCCCCGCTGAGCAGGGAGCCTGACATGGGGCTGGATCCCAGGACCAAGGGATCATGACCCGAGCCAAAGGCAGATGCTTAACCAACTGACTGAGCAACCCAAGCACCCCCTACTCATCCCATTTCTGATGACAGGAGAGAAATGTCATGAGGCTAACTTGTGTGGGGGTGTTTGACCCATCCCAAGGCTAAAACAAATGCATCCCAATTTCATAATCACACTCCGTCTGCATCATTCCTTTTATAGCATTCAGCAGGTCAAGAGTTAGAAAGGTCTCATATACCCAATATTTTGGTAACTCAAGATTACAGGAAGGACTTGAAATGTTAAAACTGGCATCTATTTCTTCCCCTGACTGATTTTAAGTTCTTTAATAATATAGCAGTTGTCAAAATAATTTTAAAAGAGAATCCGCATTTCCTCAAGTACTCAGCCAAGTGCTGAGAGCCCCATGTGCATGCCATCTCAATCTTCACAAACAGTCTTACCAGGTAGATTCCGTTATCTACCATGTTACAGAGGAGGAAACCGACATTCAGAATATTGCTTACATATAAGCTAGTAAGGGGCAGATTCAAGACTCAAATCCATGAGTGTCTACCCACAGAGCTGGCTCACTTACAAATGGCCACCCAACCCACCCAGTAACAAGTGCTCTGACCTTTGGTGAGTAATACTTTGCTGCAGCCAGCCCCAGCAGCAGATCTCAGAATCGTCCCCAGGTTCCCAGGGTCACGGAGATTGTCACAAATCAACAATAAGGGCAGCAAGTGGCGAAGCTGAGTCTCTGGGTATGTCATCTTAACATGGTCAGGTTTGGCAAAAATCCCTGAGGAAACAAAACAGGTGGTTCACTTGTCTGCTGTGACCAAGGAAATTATTTGGCTTTTCATTACTTTATCCATCTTCCTATATTTAGTTACATGAGCAATACAGGAATACATTCTGATTAAAAAAATTCATACAGGGGCGCCTGGATGGTTCAGTGGGTTAAGCCTCTGCCTTCAGCTCAGGTCATGATCTCAGGGTCCTGGGATCGAGCCCCACATCAGGCTCTCTGTTCAGCAGGGAGCCTGCTTCCCCCACTCTCTCTGCCTGCCTCTCTGCCTACTTGTGGTCTTTCTATGTCAAATAAATAAATAAAATCTTAAGAAAAAAAATTTCATACATACAATCCTACCAATGATACCCAGCCCCTATAACTGTTTTGCTTTTTTTTTTTTTTTTCCCTCAAAGATTTGATTTATTTATTTGACAGAGATTACAAGTAGACAGAGAGGCAGGCAGGGAGAGGAAGGGAAGTAGGCTCCCTGCTGAGCAGAGAGGCCAATGCAGGGCTCGATCCCAGGACCCTGGGATCATGACCTGAGCCGAAAGCAGAGGCTTTAATCCACTGAGCCACCCAGGCGCCCCTGTTTTGCTTTTTTTAAAAGATTTTATTTATTTGACATAGACACAGCAAGAAAGGGAACACAAGCAGGGGGGAGTAGGAAAGGGAGAAGCAGGCTCCCCGCTGAGCAGGGAGCCCCATGCGGAGCTTGATCCCAGAACCCAGGGATCATGACCTGAACTGAAGGCAGACCCTTAATGGCTGAGCCACCCAGGTGCCCCCCACCCCCATAACTATTTTGGATCAGAGGCTGTATCCCTTCAGAACGTTTCGTTTCATGCATCTACCTACGTATATATACATCTACCCATAAAGAGGCACTATTTTCTTTTGCACAAAAGATTCACACCGTTATTCTGTAAGTTTATTCAATTCTCTAACACGAGATGTCTTAGAGAACTTCCCACATCGATCCATTCGGAGCTACCTTATTTTAACTGCTTCACGCTATTTTGTAACATGAACATCCCAGGTTTATTTAGCTCTTCCCCAACTGACTGCCATTTAGCTTATTTTCCATTTTTCCCTATTATAAACAACCCTGCAGCGAACATCCCTGTATCTCTATGCACATGTCCTAACATTTCCTATGAAAAACTCTTGCAAACACAATCAATATATGGTGTGTGTGGGCTCCTAATGTTATCAGAGGCTCCTAAACTGTTGCCCCCCCCACCCCGCCACAGGCCAGTCCAATCTGTTTACACCAAGAACACATAAATACCTACACCTAAAGCCATCAATGAAGGCACCAGGATATTAGGCACCTGTCTAAAGGTCCTGCCCTTAGGAGCCACAGATAGCTTTAAGACCATATAGTGGGGCAGGGGCCTCAGGAGTTCTTTAACTTCTACCTAATCAGCTGTAGTGATAAGACCTCTCTACCAGAGGCCCTGCTTCTATCACTGGATTTTAGAGAGGTGCTGGAAGTCTGACAGGCGGTTTTATCTCTTTCTCCCTTTGCCCGACCCCGCCCCCCGATATAAATAATACATAAGAATAATCTAAATAATGTGTATTTTTCAGAGTCATGAAATGAAAGCAGTCATGACAAGGAGGGCTACAGAAGTCCTGGGTGGGCTGGCCACTGTTAGCCCACAGGCCCAAAGTGGCAAGCATAGTGAAAATGAGTGATACCTGCACTGTAGCATAAAGTAAGGAATTAGAAGTGTAGCTAACGAGAGCACAAACACTTACAGTAAGTGAAGGACTCTAGCAGTCCCAAATCCCCACCCTAGGAGAGATTTCTAAGCGCAGGGTCACAGATCCTTATGACTTGCTGGATTACAGAACAAGAGATGGTCCCCAGAATATCCTCTCCCAACTAACAGCTGAACTTTACCACAAAGAAACACATGCACAATGATATGAGAGACCCTGCCCCAACTGCCCCTTACTATCCAAGAGAAAATTCTCCACTTACTGCCATTCAATTATCAGATCTAAGGTATAATTCCAATGTCAAAAAGATATAAAGAATTTAGTTTTGGGGGGCCTGGGGGGCTCAGAGGGTTAAAGCCTCTGCCTTTGGCTCAGGTCATGATCCCAGGATCCTAGGGTCAAGCCCCACATCAGGATCTCTGCCTGCCTCTCTGCCACTTGTGATCTCTGTCAAATAAATAAATAAAATCTTAAAAAAAAAATTTAGTTTTTCCATATTTAGAAAAAATATCTTCCAAGTGCTAATAGACCTCACAGTCTATTAGAATCTTGTTAGAGTCAAACAAATAAAGACACGGTTTCCTGTTCAATGGGCCAAGCAGGGTAAGAGCTTGCAGCTTACTCCTAAGTAAGCTTCTAGAATAACGAGGTCAACGCCAGAGAGGCATCACCACACTGGCAGAAGTCTTGTGCAAATGGAGGGCTAAATATTTTTGTAAACATTTTCTTATATTTTAGTTGGACATTAAAGGTTGAAGAAATTACCAAAAAAAATATAATGTTTAAGGAACAGTGGTTATTCCCAGAGACTGTAAAGAACCATAATACAATTGACAGAAAAACTGACTGCAGTTTCCACTGAAAATACTATAAGATCCACAGATTTCAGAACTGTATTTTTGGTGGGTGTCTTTTTTTTTTTTTTAAGATTTTATTCATTCATTTGAGAGAGAGCGAGCACAAGCAGGGGGAGTGGGAGAGGGAGAAGCAGATTCCCCGCTGAGCTGGGAGCCTGATGTGGGGCTGGATCCCAGGACCTGGAGATCATGACCTGAGCTGGAGGCAGATACTTAACCATCTGAGCCACCCAGGTGCCCCTTTTTCTGGGTGTCTTAAGAAAACATTTTGAATTTGGTACAAAGAAAATGTGTTGCCCTAAAACAATTATGAATAAGTAATCCCAGATCTCTATTTCTAGTGACACATAGTATAACCACTGACCCATTATTCCTTGTGGTGTTACTAGGTCGGACCAATCCTTGATATCCTCAAATTTCACCTTAATGAGGCTGACACCTTTCAGCTTATCAATGGGAAGCTCCTTTATGTATTCCAGACGGCTAAAGAAGAAAACTTTGGGCACAGCACCAGCCTTGAGAGCATCTGCAATCAGCCTGCGGCCTTCCAGCAGGATCTTTCCTTGCTTCTCCCGAAATGGCCTGGACTTAACTATTGTCATTACACTGCTGTGGGTGGAAACAAAAATACAGGTAATTACCAACATCCTTGTTACGGAGACACACCTCGTTCTAAGAGACATAAAGAGCTTCATAGACATAAACGAATTTCAAAGAAAACACTTATTCTGCCCTCCAAGCATAATAAAAACCAGAGGGTTATACCGGGAGAAGTCCTCCAACGGGAGGAAAAAAACGTTTTTCGTTAAGTTCCCGCTGGCAGGTGGGAAGAGAAAGTGGAATACAAAACAAGTCTCAGGAACACATCACCTCAGCCTTCTGTCCCCGGGTAAAGCCTTATCATAGCGAAGCCCCGATTCTTCCCAGGTGCAGGGCGTCTGGGTTGGGGACACCTGAAGCGGCTGCTTTGGTCGCTGCTCGTAGGGACTGGCCTCAGCCGCAGCCCTCTGGGGCTGCTTCCCAGGACCCGTGGGCTTTCGTTCCACGACCTGTCCGGATGGAAACACCACCCTCACGGGGCTCCGCCGCAGCGCCCGGACCCAGCGCCGCCCGTCGAGGTCCCAGGTTTGGACTACCCATAGCAGCGGCCGCGTGGCCCACCTCCAGCCCTTTACCAGGGCCGCCATCTTCCCCCGCGCCGTGGGTTGCGTCACGGGAACGCGCCGGCGGCGGCCAGTGACGTCACGACCCGTCTGCGCATCTGCGGGCTGGCAGGCTTCTAGTTCTGCCGGATGTGTGGCGCTTGTGGCTATGGCTACTCGTCGAGCTTTGCACTTCGTCTTCAAAGTGGGAAACCGCTTCCAGACCGCGCGTTTCTTTCGCGATGTCCTGGGGATGAAGGTGCAGACGGGGCTGAGAGGGGCTGGGGCGCGAGGGTGGGTGGCCGGGGCCGCTGCGCCCCACTGGCCCAAGAAAGGGACAATTGGGTGTGTCTTGAATCTCCGCTGGCGCCCAGGTGTCCGACCTTAGCCCTGGTCTCCCCATTAGCCCTGTCGGGTTTTCAGCTTCGGGAAGCGTTGTATGTTGCTGGTTGCGTTGGTGATCTTGGAAGGGGTCTTTATTAGTCGCCGACTGTGTCCCCACATACGTTTGTTTCATTTGAGTTCATTCACAAATATTGAGGCTCTGCCTTCGTGGACTTTCCAGTCTAGTGGGAATGACAGTAAACAGAAAGTAATATAATACTCTCCCAATGAACAATAACCCAATCGCTTCCGGTTTGGAGCCTTTCGGCTAAGATAATCTGCCCGTTTAGAGCTCTGCTTTTCTCAGGCCTGCTTTGAATGGTCTCTTACGGGTATTCGGTCTCCGGGTGAATGCTCCGGCCCTCCTCTCAACAGTCCAGATCTAAGTGTGAAGTCAGAACCCATTGTCTCCGACACCCGGAAGCGGCCCCTCCAGCCCTGATCAGCTGTGATTCTGCAGGGATCACCTGGGTGGCAAATGGAGGTGGAAGCTATTGGGGAGCTCCCGATAAGCCAGGGCTTTAGAGGTGCAAGAGTGCAATTTAGAGAGTGCAGAAGATGTAGAGGGCCAGGGAGTTACCTGAATTCATCAGTCACTTAAAACCTATCGTCTGTGCTTCATGGTCCTGTGTTGGTGACAGCTTTGGTGGCAAAGATGAAAATGACCTTAGTGTCTGTCTTCAGCTAAAGCTTCTGGCTTAGGATAGGGGTGGAGATGACAGTTTGGTTTGTACATAGCTAACAGTAATGGAAGTGACAACTTCATAAGTGATGAAAAACCACAAAACTCTCCCTTAATATGTTTCCTCATTGATTAAAGGGTTGTTGTGAAGATTAAACACTGAATATCTGATACATCATATGTATTATATAAGTAGTAGCTACTAGTATTATTAAAAATTACTACAGGAAAGATTTAACTTCAGCTTGGGTCATCAGGAAATAATTCATGGACATCTTGCATTTGAGTTGATCTATAAAAATAGGCAGGATTTCTACAAAGATTAGAGGGAGGAGTATACTGGAAAAACTGAAAGAACCCATGCAAAGATAAGGTATGTTTGGGAAACACCACTGGTTTTCTGTGCGTTCAGCTTAGATTTCTTAGTTGAAGTTGAGATGGGATATCAGGACAAATAGGTTGGGACTACTTCTGATAGTATCTTGAATACTGAGGTATTTGGATTTTATGGCACAGTAAGTAGAGAGCTCTCTTACATTTTAGAACAGGGTCATGTTGTGATCAGAGCTGTGCACGAGGGACATAATTTTATGGTGGTATTAAGGAAAGATCAGTAAAGATGATTTTTAATAGTCTAGGAGAGAACTGATAGGAAGTTGAACTGGAGCCGTAGCTGTGGGAATCAAAAAGGAGAATAGAAACTTAAGACATTGAGAGGCTACTGTGTGTGGGGTTCTGTGTCCTATGGTGTAATAAGTTATCTATTCTCACAACACATGGGGAGACTCAGGCCCTAAGCAACATTCTCGGGCAACGTTCCCAATCTCAGACAACTATTGAGTGACAGGCAGGATTCCAAATCAGAATTCTGTAATGCTGGGGGCCATCCTTTGGTTTTCTGGGTCGTGGTGATGGTTTTAACTTCACAGTGCTTCTTCCAAATCTAGGTAGATTTCACAATCTTGTTTGCCTGACTTGGTATTCTAATTTCCTTATCAGATTCTGCGGCATGAGGAATTTGAAGAGGGCTGTAAAGCTACCTGTAATGGGTATGATACCTTGTTTCTTAAAATCTCCTTGAGACTCTGAATACCCTTGGAGAACAGAAGAAAGTTGTTTGAAGTGAGTATAAGGCAGTAGAATACATTCAGGAATCAATAAATTAAGGTGGCAGCTCTAAAAAAAACAAGTAAGTGTATCCTCTAAATGAATCATTGTATTTTTTTTTTTAAGATTTTATTTATTTATTTGACAGAGGGAGAGAGAGAGTACAAGCAAGGGGAGCAGCAGGGACAGGGAGAAGCAGACTTCCCCTGAGCAGGGAGCCCAGCGTGGGCCTCGATCCCAGGACCCTGGGATCATGACCTGAGCCGAAGGCAGATGCTTAACCAACTGAGCCACCCAGTGGCCCTAAATGAAGCAATGTCTTATTGAGTGTCTTAGCTTAGTAGCCATAGCAAACTGGAAAATTCCAAGGCCTAATGAGAATTGCATGCTTGTTGAGAGATATGCAAAAATATTAAGGTCCGGTTGGAGAAGTATCTTTATAGGAGTATGTCCCCTGCTTTAAAGAAAAGGTAAACAAATCTTTCCCTCAAGTAAGTGCCAGACAGGTGATCTTTGGAGCCTCCGGTGGTGGGGCCCATGATCACTGTCCATAGCTGCATTTAGAAACAGCTGAGAGGTCATCGCATCCTTACAGGTACTTAGAGGACCAGAGGGGACTGCCTACTGTTCTGTCCCGAGAGTTCCTGAGGGGAGGCCTGATGCAGATTTTGTCTGTATTCACTGGATTCATTTACTTTCATTTTTCTAGGCCTTATGATGGGAAATGGAGTAAGACAATGGTGGGATTTGGACCTGAGGATGATCATTTTGTCGCAGAACTGACCTACAATTATGGCATTGGACACTACAAGCTTGGCAATGACTTCATGGTAAATGGCATTTTGTTTGAGCAGATTTTGGCTGTGCCTTTTATTGAGGTCCCTGATACAACTTTAAGTATGATGACTGCTCAGTTGATGGCTTTTGAGTGCAGATTAGTGCTTGTGCACCTGTCTCAGAGCTGCTTTGGGAGGAAATGTGTTCTTCCAGTGTTCAGTAGGAGGCAGACTCAAGACTTAGAGACAGCTTTGACAGAGACAAGACTCCTTTAGGGGAATGACTGAACCTTGAGAGATAGAAGGACCGGAGTCATTGGTCTGCTTAAGCAGGTCCTGATCATCAAACAGAAATATTTTCTCTCTAATGAACCATTAGGATCGGGCTCTGCTATTATGGCAGTGCTAGTCAGAGAAAAACAGGAGAAGCTTTTCAGGAGAAAGAGAGGGAAGCATTGCATATACTGCATTCATTGCTTCATTCATGTGAGAGTTCAAGTCACTGTGCATCTAATAGTTACATGATCTGCCTCTTATTGAGCAGCTACTATGTGCTACATAGAATGCCACTGGGTCCAAGTACACAGTGAGATAGAAGTAACCAGTTTTCTCTCAGGATCTGCCGAGCAAATCTATCTCATGCTAGATGTTATTTTGGTCAATTGATTCTGCTATCACTCTTAACTCATGTTAAAATAATAATGACATTTAAATGGAATTTTTATGACTCAAATATCTATAAAAGTGTTTTGTAAATGAAAGGGATAGTTCAGATTTAACATAATTAGTGTCTGTTTTTCTTTTTCTCATTCTTCATGTCTTTACTCATTTATTTATTTTTATTAGGGAGAGAGAGTTTTGTTGTTGGTTTTTTTTTTTTAAGATTTTATTTATTTATTTGACAGAAAGATCACAGGCAGAGAGGCAGGCAGAGAGAGAGGGGGAAGCAGGCTCCCCCTTGAGCAGAGAGCCAGATGTGGGGCTCAATCCCAGGACCGTGCGATCATGATCTGAGCCAAAGGCAGAGGCTTTAACCCACTGAGCCACCCAGGCACCCCAAGAGAGAGAGTCTTAAGCAGGCTCCACGCCCAGCTCAGAGCCTAATGAGGGGCTTGATCTCAGGACTGTGACATCATGACCTGAGCTGAAATCAAGAGTCAGATGCTTAACTGACTGAGGCACCCACGTAGCCCTAATTTATTTATTTTACAGATATTTATTGTGACTTAGTGTATTATTTATATTTATATTTACTATACTTATATATAGTTATATATAAGTACATATATATTTACTATATTTATATTTATTGTGACTTACCTGATTAGGTCCTGGGGTTACAGCAGAGTGAAGCATGTTCCCTGGCCTAAGGGGCTTCCTGTCAGGTGGGGGAAACAAGGAAAGAGACTGATGAGTGCAATTAGTGCCAAGATTGAAAAAAGCATACATGGATGTATGTGGGCAAAGATGAGGCTGGAGAAATAAGCTGGGGCCATCAGACTAGGGTGTTTACACTTTATTCTAAAAACAGAGTGAAGCCATTTTTGAAGTAGGGGAAGGACACAGTATACGTGGTGGGCAAGAATTCACCTGGCTGGAGCATGGGTTTTGGGTTCTTGGAAAGCAAAACTGGAAGCGAGGAAACTAGCTCAGAGGGTAGTACAGCAAGGGACTCAAAGCCCCTTAACTCATGCAGCAGTGGGAGATGGAGAGACCTGGGTGGATTTGAGAGATGTTTAGGAGGTCGAGTTAATAGGATTTAGTGATTGAGTGTAAATGAAAATGTTTTCATGTTTCTTCTTATCTTTTCCTTACTCTCCAAATCTAAATCAGGGAGAGGAAGGAAGAGCAAAAGCATCTTGGCACCATCATACTGTCACCAGCTCAAGTCAGATGTTGACTGATGGTACTGCAGGGGTTAGAGGTCATGTAGGTGGAGAACAGCGGGTCTGCTCCACTGTGGGTCTTCCTAGGAGACTCTGGTAATAAAATATCCCTAATAAAAGGAAACTCTGGGCTCCTCAGTTCATGGAACAAAAAGAAAAACAGGTTACATAGAACTCCCATTTATGTAAAGAATTCCCATACATTAAAAAGAAGAGGATCCAAGGCCACCTAGGTGGCCTACTTGCTTAGTGTCCAACTCCTGATTTTGGCTCCTGATCTCGGGGTCATGAGATTGAGCCCTGCTTCCAGCTCTCTGCTCAGCTGGGAGTCTGCTTGAGATTCTCTCCCTCTTCCTCTGTCCTTCCTCCCTCTCTCTCTGTCTGTCTCTCTCTCTCTCAAATAAATCTTTAAAAACAAATTATCAACAACTTAATTTTTTTAAGGGGCAAAAACTGAACAGACAGCCATAGAAAATGAATCAGAAATGTCTCTCAGACATTGAAAAAGATGTTCAACTGCCAAGGTGCCATTTGTCACCAATCAGATTGACAAAAATCAAGAAGTGTGATAGCACACCGTGTTAAAAAGGGTGTTAGTCAACTGCCACTCTCATACATTACTTTTAAAAGAGCATATATTACTACAACTTCAGTTTGGCGGTATCAAAATAATGCATTTGACCTTGGTCCTTGCAGTTTCACACCTAGGAATTTAGTTTACATGTATGTTAACAACTGTGTGAAATGAACTGTATTAAATTATTTATGGTGGTATTTATTCATACAACAAGTATTTATTGAGTGCCTGCTATGTACCAGGCACGGTTCCAGGAAGTTTGGATAACCAGTGAACAAAATGGGCAAAAATCTATGTCTGGCAGGGGAGGGAAACAGGGCCTGACAGACAATATATAGTAAATAGAATAAATAAATCATACTATGTTGTTTTAAAGGTGATCGTTGTTATTGGAAAGAACAGCAGAGGAAGGGAGATGGGGAGTATGGGACAGATGACTGGTTTTAATTTTAAGGAGGGTGTTGAGGGTGGGTATCAGGGAGGAGGGGACATTTGTGGAAAAGCTCATGTGAGAGAAGAGAGTTAGTTAGCCACGTGGCTATTGCAGGGGAGAGCAATCCAGATAGAACAGGCTATTCAAAAGCCCTCAGAAAGTACCTGGCGTGTTCCCAAAAAATGCAAGGAGGCCAGGTTGGCTGTAATAGAACAAGGGGAAAGTGGGAGGAGATGGGGTCAGAAACGATGGGATCAGGTTGTGTTGGGCCTTTCAGGCCATTAGAAACCATCCCTGAGTGGAACTATGAGCTATCAAGGGTTTTAAGCAGGGGAAGTACAACATAGGGTTGCTGTCTTGAGAGTAAAGTATGCATCAGAAAATTTACTTTGGCTACAGAGTGGGTGATGGATTGACAACTCAGGGAAAGAGAGGCTGTTATGATAATCCCAGTTAGAACTGCAGCTGGTCTTATCAGAAGGCATAGTGTACATTTTTAGGTATTGTGATTAAATTTTAAGTAATACCCAAATAGTTGGTTTAAATTTTTTAATTTTTTAAAGATTTTATTTATTTATTTGAGAGAGAGAGAGCTTGAGAGAACAAGTGAAGGGAGGGGCAGAGGGAGAAGCTGACTCCCTGAGGAGCAGAGGACCCGACGTGGGACTCGAATTCAGGACCCTGGGATCATGACCTGAGCTGAAGGCAGACACTTAACCGACTGAACCACCCAGACACCCACATTTTTTGGTTTAAAAAGCAAAAATAGGGGCGCCTGGGTGGCTCAGTGGGTTAAAGCCTCTGCTTTCGGCTCAGGTCATGATCCCAGGGTCCTGGGATCGAGCCCCACATTGGGCTCTCTGCTCAGCAGGAGGCCTGCTTCTTTTCCTCTCTCTCTCTGTCTGCCTCTCTGCCTACTTGTGATCTCTGTCAAATAATTAAATAGAAATCTTAAATAAATAAATAAATAAAAAGCAAAAATAAAAATAAAACATCTCAAGTAGGTAGCTGGCAGGCCAAGGTAAAATCAAGATTTCTCTGACTAGATCTTTAAAATTAAAAGAAAGTATCTTTGGTATTAAAATGGTCAAACTTCTCAGGGCGCCTGGGTGGCTCAGTCAGTTAAGCGTCTACCTTTGCCTCAGGTCATGACCCAGGGTCCTGGGATGGAGCCCCAGGTTAAGGAGCCTGCTTCTTCCTTTCCCTCTGCTGCTCCCCTTGCTTGTGCTTGCTCTCTGTCTCTCAAATAAATAAATAAAATCTTTTTAAAAATCACTAGAAGAAAATTTTGAATGCCAATTAAATCTTAGGTGACATGATGGTTTTGCCTCATTATCTTGCTCTAGAAAAGATCTGTAATATTGTATTTTGTCATAGGGTATCACCCTCGCTTCTAGCCAGTCTGTCAGCAATGCCAGGAAGCTGGAGTGGCCACTGAATGAAGTTACAGAAGGTGTTTTTGAAATCAAGGCCCCAGGAGGATATAAGTTCTATTTGCAGAATCACAACCCACCTCAGTCAGGTAATTATACTGGGACTAATAAAAGCCCTCTGTGTAACGCCATCTTTGATGAAAGGAGAGAGGAACCAGATCTCTTTCTCCTGTGGAGTTTCTATATTGACATGATATCTCTCCTAAGCCAATGTTTCTTATTCTTTGAGGAATCTTTTTTTTTTTTTTTTTTCTTCTTAGAGAGTGAGTGAGAGAGAGCACACAGGGGGAGAACAGTAGGGGGAGAAGCAGGCTCCCTGCCAGACAAGGAGCCCAGTGCAGGACTCGATCCCAGGACCCTGGGATCACGACCCGAGCTGAAGGCAGAGGCTTAACCCACTGTGTCACCCAGACATCCCTGGAGAGGGAGAATCTTAAGCAGGCTCCACACCCAGTGTCAAGCCCTATGTGGGGTTCGATCTTACCTCCCTGAGATCATGATCTAAGATGAAATAAAAAAAATCCGACACTAAAACAGCTGAGCCACCCAGGCATCCCGAGAGATCATATTTTCCTATTGGAACTTTAGTGCATAATCCTAGGGGATTTAACTGCTTCTGATTCTGTTCTGTTGGGAGTATATCTGTTTCAGCTGTAACAGAAAACCGATCTCTAACTAGCATGGACAATAAGAAAATAGCTGACAGAGCAGGTGTTCTGTAGGTTAGCTGATTCAGCAGCTCAACAATGGCATCAAGAATCCAACTTTTTGGGGGCGGTGGGGTTATGGACATTGGGGAGGGCATGTGCTATGGTGAGTGCTGGGAAATGTGTAAACCTGGCGATTCACAGACCTGTATCCCTGGGGATAAAAATATATGTTTAAAAAAAATAAAATTAATTAAAAAAGAATCCAACTTTTCTCTGTCTCTCCATCCTCTTGTCTGTAGGGGTCTACTTCTAGAGCCGGTTCTCTTGTGGTTGTTGGGTGGCTGCCAGTAGCAACTGGGGCTACCTGCTTCCACATTCTCATATGGCAGGAGAGACTGACTTCCTGTTGCTTTTATTAAGAGCAGAGCAAAACTCTTCTGGAAGTTTCCTGCAGACTTCCTGGTCAGATTTGATTCACCATCCTGCTCTGAATAAATCATTGCTAAGGCAGATAGGTTTTATCCTTAGACCGGTTGGTCTTCTCTCTCCCGCTGAGGTCAGTTTCACAAACCATAGTGCTGGCGCTAGGTGAGTGAGGGTGGAAGGGAAGTGCGGGGCCCAGCACGCTGACTGCCATGTGGAAAGAAACTTTGCACAACATGTTTCGTTTACTGCGGAACCATCCTCATCCTGGGTATAATCCCTGCACCTTCTGCTCTGCCAAAAGAAAAACAATAGCAGAGAAGGACACCAGTGAATAGCAAAGGCGGTTCTGCCTGCCATTTCAGTGTGTGGGCACACTTCCTTAAGTGGACCTGAGATGGGACGCATATATTCTCTTCCTTCCACTGGTCTGCCTCAGCGCCCAAATGCCCCTCGTACTGGGTCTGATTGTGTGTGCAATGCTACGTTCTTTTCATCTGGAGCTCAGCAAAGGAGATAACGATCTGTTCCAGTGTGGGAGGTTAGACGGGTGCTGTAGGACTTACTGGCAGATGGTCACATTTTATAAGCCTTGCGAAAGAGTCTATTATTTATTTTGTGGACAGTGAAAGATTTTTTTATTTTTTTATTAACATATAATGTATTATTAGCCCCAGGGGTACAGGTCTATGAATCGCCAGGTTTACACACTTCACAGCACTCACCATACACATACCCTCCCCGATGTCCATAACAAACCACCCTCTCCCTACCCCTCTCCCCCCGGCAACCCTAAGTTTGTTTTGTGAGATTAAGAGTCTTTTATGGTTTGTCTCCTTCCCAATTCCATCTTGTTTCATTTATTCTTTTCCTACCCCCAACCCCCCCCACCCACGTTGCATCTCCTCTTCTTCATATCAGGGAGATCATATGATAGCTGTCTTTCTCGGATTGACTTATTTCGCTAAGCATAATACCCTCTAGTTCCATCCATGTCGTTGCAAATGGCAAGATTTCATTTCTTCTGAAGGCTGCATAGTATTCCATTGTATATATATACCACATCTTCTTTATCCATTCATCTGTTGATGGACATCTAGGTTCTTTCCATAGTTTGGCTATTGTGGACTTTGCCGCTATAAACATTCAGGTGCATGTGCCCCTTTGGATCACTACATTTGTATCTTTAGGGTAAATGCCCAGTAGTGCGATTGCTGGGTCGTAGGGTAGCTCTATTTTCAACTTTTTGAGGAACCACCATGCCGTTTTCCAGAGTGGTTGCACCAGCTTGCATTCCCACCAACAGTGTAGGAGGGTTCCCCTTTCTCCGCATCCTCTCTGGCGCCCACTTATGATCTCTCTCTCTGTCAAATAAATAAATAAAATCTTTTTTTTTTTAAAGATTTTATTTATTTATTTGACAGAGAAATCACAAGTAGGCAGAGAGGCAGGCAGAGAAAGAGGGGGAAGCAGGCTCCCTGCTGAGCAGGGAGCCCAATGTGGGGCTCAATCCCGGGACCCTGAGATCATGACCTGAGCCGAAGGCAGAGGCTTAACCCACTGAGCCACCTAGGCACCCATAAATAAATAAAATCTTAAAAAAAATAAAAATAAATTTTAAAAGGTACCTAAAAAATGGAGAGCCCCACAATCCCAAGATGTTTTTGTCCTTTGGAATGATAAAACCTTTGTGGCATTAATTTCCATTTGGTAATTGGGTCAGATCTATCAGTCTAGCTGGTGTCCAGCCTTCCTTTTACTCACTGGGTCCTGGGTAGTCTCACCCACTTGCTACCATTCCTGTCCTTCTTCCTTCAGGGACTCAGCTGGGTGGAATTTATTGATTTCTCAGTGAACAGGGAAAAGGAACAGTCTGGCAGGCAGAGGCATCTGTGAGAAACACTTGGCCTTTGTCATGGTATTGCTGTTCTAGCAAATGGGGCTGAGGCAGTGAAAACCAAAGAAGAATATACCGAATTTATCATAGAGCAGCTCTTCAGAAGGTCACCTTACAATATAAAAACTTCCAATGATGTTAAATGTTTTAGTATAACTTTTATCCGTTTTGCAAAGAATAGATTTTTTTCCCTAGACAGATAAGCCAAGAAGAAGAAAGAAGAAAACAGTACCCACATAGCCAGATAATCACTGTTAACATTTTAGAGTGTATTTTTCCAGTCATTTATCCAAAAAAAATGTAACTATATGTCATATGTTCCATTGTAACGATTCCATTATTATTACCGTTATTACATGGGGGGGAGATTAAACCGTTGTCTAAGTGTTGGATATTTGTGTTGTCCCTGTGTTTCATCGATGAGCAGCACTGTAAAGATGTCTTTGTCCTGAAAGGCCTTCATACATTTGCAATTACTTCTTTAATTGGTGATAATAGGATTGCTCTTTGAAAAGCTGTTTACATTTTTTTAGGCTTTGGGTACATTCTGTCAAATTGTTGCCCAGAAGCATTCTAGTTTGCCCTCTGCCAGTATTATATGATTGTGATTTTTTCCCCCCTGCCCTATCACAGTTAACAATGTAACTTTTAAAATTATTTGCCAATGAAATAACAAAATGTTTTAATTCTAGTTTCTTTGATTATTTGTGAGGTTGAATTTTTTTTATATGTTCATTGACCATTCCACTTCATTCTTTGTGGATTACTACTTTGTGCTTTTTACCTATTTTTTTTTTTTTTTAGGATGTTCATCTTTTTCCTAGTAACGTTTGAGGATTATTTAAATATTAAGGACTTCTTATCATATATGTTGCAAAAATGTTTCCTACTTTGTCATTTATTCTTTGATTGTAATTTTTTTCGTTTCTTTTTCTTTTTCTTTTTGGTGGTTATTGCCTAGGAATTTTCCATTTCATGCAATTAACCTAGTATATTTTTTCCTTCATGGTTTTTCTATCTCTGGTGTCAGGTTTTTAAAAAAAACTTTTTCCACCCCCAAGCTGTAGCAATAATGACCTATTTTTAGTATTTTCATGATTTCATTCTTTAAACTTAATCCTTAAGCCTAAAATCCCTTTCTTATCATAAACTAAGTTCCTGGAGCACCTGGGTACTCAATTAGGTAAGCGTCTGCCTTCTGCTCAGGTCATAATCCTGGGGTCCTGGGATTGAGCCCCACATAGGACTCCCTGCTCCACAGGAAGCCTGCTTCTCCCTCTCCCTCTGCTGCCCCTGCTTGTGCGCACACTCTCTCTTCCTCTTTCTCTGTCAAATAAATAAAATTTTCAGAAAAAAATATACTAAGTTCTTATATATACTCAAGCCTGATTTAGTCTTTCTTCGATTCCATTGCACTGATCTATAAATTGCTATTGTTTTATTACTCTCCAGATCCTATATTAAAAGTAACTCTAGCAGTGTCTGATCTTAAGAAGTCCTTGAACTACTGGTCTAATCTACTGGGAATGAAAATTTATGAAAAAAATGAAGAGAAACAAAGGGCTTTGCTGGGCTATGCTGATAACCAGGTGAGTGATCTTGGAGAGAAGTAATCTGTTACTTTGAGTTTGGCTTATAAACGAGGTTACATGAAGGTTATTCTCAAGAGTTTTTTCACAGTGATTCAGTATTTTTCAGAGATAAACAGAAAGAAGAAAATAGAAATTGCTGATAACCTCATCACCCAGATATTACCTTTGTTTATATTTGGGGATATAGCCTTTCAGAAATGGAATTGCTGAGTCAGAACAGAGGGAGACAACATCTAGTACTATAATGATAATCTATTTTATCTTTTTTTTTTTTAATAACTTAGCGTCTGAACATGATTTAGTCCTTGCACTCTGACCCAGCACATCTACTCATAGGAATTTATTTCACAGCTGTACTCACCATTCAAGTGCGCAAGGAAATGTGTAAAAGGTTATCTGTTCCAGCATTGAAATAGCAAAAGATAAGAAATAATCCCAATGTCCTGTGCATTAGAGGCATAGTTCAATATTTTTTGGTTTATCCATAGATTGAATTACTGTGCAGCTATCAGAAAGAATAGGGTGAGTTGTTATGTGCCAATGGAGTAACATTGGATAAAAAAAGCAAGGGACAGAATAATGTGTAAATGATGCTACTGTTTGTATTTTTAAAAAAAATCTGTGCATGCCATGTGTCTAGCAGGACACACAGGAAGCCTCTGGGAGAGAGTAGAAGGGAAAGATAGTTTTTACTTTATTCCTTTAGTACTGTTTGATTTTTTTTTTCTTTTAACCACATAACCTGTTCCAAAAAACTAGACCCACCTTCTTTCTTCTTTTCAGTGTAAGCTGGAGCTGCAGGGTATCAAGGGTAGAGTTGATCATGCAGCAGCTTTTGGAAGAATTGCCTTTTCTTGCCCCGAGAAAGAGGTAATGTTTGTTCCTGGATTTTTCGTGTAAGCTCTGGGACTAGCCAGTTGAATCAGCTAAGAACCTCAACCCTCCCTTCTTCAGTTTCGTTCCAATTGTGGCTTGCTATCAAGTTCACCAGTTGTCTCAAGAGCGGCTGAGATAATAAAATCAAACAAGTGGTGCCTGGGTTCTCTCTGATTGATCCCCTAGGGCTGACGAGGACCATAGTGTGGGAGTGGTACATGACCCCTTGCTCACTTTCCCTCTTTATTTTCCTCCAGTTACTGGACTTAGAAGACCTGATGAAAAGGGAGAACCAGAAGATTCTGACTCCCCTGGTGAGTCTGGATACACCAGGGAAAGCAACAGTACAAGTGGTCATTCTGGCTGACCCTGTAAGTATTACTCAAGAAAGGGATGGGCTGCACTAGGGGTTTCTTCAAGGTGTCTTTTTGCCAGATTTCTTTTCTCTTTATCGGTGTAGGATGGACATGAAATTTGCTTTGTGGGGGATGAAGCATTTCGAGAACTTTCTAAGATGGATCCAGAGGGAGGCAAATTGTTGGATGACGTGAGTCTCATTTCTGACTTTGTATCCCCATAGGCCTACAGCGGATAGTGTTAAGTGTGTGGGGGAAAGACTGAAGCAGGAGGGTCCAGTGCTGTGTCCTTTTGGCGGTAGGGTGACATTTGAGCCAGGAACATGTGTCTTCATGGCTACCCGTGTGACTCTTTTTTTTTTTTTTTTTTTAAAGATTTTATTTTTAAGTGGGGCACTTGAGTGGCTCAGTCGGTTAAACGTTCTGTCTTCAGCTCAAGTCATGATTCCAGAGTCCTTGGATCGAACCCAGCATGGGGCTCCCTGCTCAGCGGGGAGCCTGCTTCTTCCTTTTCCCTCTGCCTGATGCTCCCCCTGCTTGTGCGCTGTGTCTCTCTGTTAAATAAAAAAATAAAATCTTTAAAAAAAAAAGATTTTATGGACACCTGGGTGGCTCAGTCGTTGAGCATCTGCCTCGGCTCAGATCATGATCCCAGCATCCTGGAATCGAACCCTTCATTGGGCTCCCTGCTTGATGGGAAGCCTGTTCTCCCACTCCCCCTGCTTGTGTTTCTTCTCTTGCTGTGTCTCTCTGTCAAAAAAATAAATAAAATCTTTTTTTTTTTTTTTTAAGATTTTTATTTATTTGACAGAGATCACAAGTAGGCAGAGAGGCAAGCGGGGTGGGGGGAAGCTGAGCAGAGAGCCCAACATGGGGCTTGATCCCAGGACCCTGAGATCATGACCTGAGCCAAAGGCAGAGGCTTAACCCACTGAGCCACCCAGTCGCCCCTAAATAAAATCTTTAAAAAAAATTTTTTTTTATTAATAAGTAATCTCTACACTCAACATGGGGCTTGAACACACAGTTCCAAGATCAAGAGTCACATGCTCTACCGCCTGAGCCAGCCAGGCACCCCTAAAATATTTTGGTTTTTTAAGGAATCTCTACACCCAGCATAGGGCTCGAACTCAAGACCCCAACATTAAGAGTTGCACACTCTACTGACCAAGCCAGCCAGGCGCCTCAGCACCCATATGACTCTTAACTGGGTATAGCATTCATGCCTTCGCACTTGCTCACGCTGCCTGGGGAACCACTCCTGCCCCGTGCATCATGATTCTGTTCAACGAGGGGAAAGGCCTGGAAACATCCCCCTGCTTCTTTAGCTCTCTTGGTCCTCTCATCTCCAGTGTACAGTGGCAGTCCCTTCTTTTCTAGTGAATCGTTCTGGTCAGCATGCAAACGAGGTTTCATGCCTCCCATTGTTTAAAAGTATTTTGCCCCATATCCCTTCTCCACAGTTCTTTTTATTTTTTTTTTTATTTTTTTTTTTTTAAAGATTTTTTATTTATTTTATTTTGTCAGAGAGAGAGAGGGAGAGAGAGCGAGCACAGGCAGACAGAATGGCAGGCAGAGGCAGAGGGAGAAGCAGGCTCCCTGATGAGCAAGGAGCCTGATGTGGGACTTGATCCCAGGATGCTGGGATCATGACCTGAGCCGAAGGCAGCTGCTTAACCCACTGAGCCACCCAGGCGTCCCTCCACAGTTCTTTTTAAAAAATCTGCCTACACTCTGTTTCTGCTTCTTACCTCCCCTTCACACCTGAGTCTGTTCGGCACTGGCTCCTGTCACTCAGGGGAATGCTCCTGTTGAAATCACCAGTGACTTCATCTTGCCAATTCCAGCAACTACTTTTCTATCTTCATCAAACTCAGTCTTTAATCAACATCCAAAGCCATCATTGTACCCCAGCTTCTAGCACATACCTGGTGCGTAGTAGGAACTTAGGAATGCTCTGTTGATGAATCAGGGAATGAATCACTGGCTCTTCGCTTACTATCTGTGTGACTGACTCTAAGTAATTCACTTAAATTCTCTGAACTTCAGTTTTGGTAGTTTTGTTTTATTTTGTCTTAAGTAATCTCTATGCCTGACATGGAGCTTGAACTTGCAACCCCAAGATCAAGAGTCACATGCTTTACCAACTGAGCCAGCCAAGATCCCTTAGGCTTTAGTTTTCTTACCTGGAAATTTGAGAAAAAGATAGGTACCCAGAATGGTTGTATGGTTTACAGAGCATGGCAAACTGCTGACATTATAACAGACATTCAATTTAATTAAAGCAGGAAACAAAGTATATAGCATTAATAAATTTTATCATAAAGGAAAATAGAATCCCAGACAACCTCCCAGTTGGCACATTTGTTAGACTTTTTCCTCCTTGCTTTCTCATATCACTGATTAACTTCCTCCTCTTTCAAGTTCTCTTCTTTTGTCTTAGAGATCCTGCCATTTTCATATCTCCCTGACAGCTTCTCAGACACAAGCATATCTTTCTGTCTCATTCTGGAATGATTTACCCACAGTCCCACTCTAGCTGTCTTTTACTCTCATTCCACATTTTTCCTCTTCTCTGAGTAGAAGTTACTTACTACTATGGTTACTTCTCTGAGCTGCAACCATCATCCATTCTCTGACTTCCTAATTTCTAGTTCCTACTCCTCCCTAAGCTCTAAACAAGTATTTGTTGTTGTTACTGAGGTAAGGTATACACGAAATATAAATGAACAGAAATTTAGTGTTTTATCTGATGAGTATTGACAGCTAAATATTCTCATACACCACTGTTCAAAATATAGAGCATTTTCATCATTGTAGAAAGTTCTTCCATGCCCGTTTCCAGCTAATTCTCACCACTGCCTCCCAGAAGCAAGTATTGTCACATTATTTTTGTCTTTGGACTTCATATAAATGAAATCATTCAGTAGGTATTCTTTTGTGCCTGGCTTCTGTCACCCAGCATAACATTTTTGAGATTCTTCTATGTAATTACACACATCAGAGTTCTTTTTTTTTTCTTTTTTTTATTGCTGAGTGGTATTCAGTTTTATAAATACAACAATTTGCTTATTCATTCTTCTGATGGTGGATATTTGAGTTGTTTCCAGATTTTATCCACAATAAGGAAGACTGCTGTGAACATTCTTGTGTAAATCTTATAGACATGTTTCATTTCCTTTAGGTAATAATTAGGAGTGGAATTGCTTTTACTTTATGAAAAACTGCCAAACAGTTGTCCAAAGTGATTGGCTCATTTTACTCTCCTGTCAGCCATGTATGTGTCTGAGAGTTCCACCTGTTCCATACCCTCATCAGCATTTGTGTTTTTCCGGGTTTTTGTGTTAGCTGTCCTAGAACGTGTAAAATGGCTTCTCATCGTGCTTTTAATTTGCATTTCCCTGATAACTGCTGACATTCAGCACCTTTGCGTATGCTTATTGGCTATTTGCACACCTTCCTTTATGAATTATATGTTCAAGTCTTTTGTCCATTTCTTTCTATAATAGATTTTATTTATAATATTTGGTGATTAAAAATTCCAAAAATACACAGGAGAGTACAACAAATCTCTGTGTGACTGTCACTAATCAACACTGTCGTAATTTTTCATTATTCCTTCCCACCCCACTTTTTTTTGGCTAGGGAATTCTTTCCCCACCCCACCCCCAAGATTTTTTTGATTATTCATTTGAGAGAGAAAAAGCATGAGCAAGGGGAGAGGCAGAGGGAGAGGGAGCAGCAGACTTCTTGCTGAGCCACGTGGGGCTCAATCCCAAGACCTCGGGATCATGACCTGAGCCAAAGGCAGCGCTTAACCATCTGAGCCACCCAGGCGCCCCTTTTTTGCTAGGGAATTCTAAGGCAAATCTTAGACACTGTGTTGTTTCAACCCTAAGTACTTAAGTATTTTATACATTTTGATTTTTTTTTAAGATTTATTTGAGAGAGAGTGCTTGCCTGCATGTGCACATGAACTGGGGAGGGGCAAAGGGAGAGGGAGAAGCAGACTTCCCACCAAGCAGGGAGCCTTATGTGGGGCTCGATCCCAGGACTCTGAGGAGATTAAAGAGTTTTTGAAGAGACTGGATTTATGCTTTAGAAAGCTGATGCTGCCGGGAGGGATGGCAAGTGAACGCAGATGCTTAATTGACTAAGCCACCCAGGCACCCCAGTATTTTATACATTTTTAAATTATTTAAAAGAACTAAAAGTCAAGGAATTTTCTTATGTACCATATTGATATTAGCACAGTTTTAAAAATCACCAGTATATCCTTAATGTCACTTAAAATCCAGTTTTATTAAAATTTCCCTAATTAGGGGTGCCTGGGTAGCTCAGTCGTTAAACGTCTGCCTTTGGCTTGGGTCATGATCCCAGGGTCCTGGGATCGAGCCCCGCGTCAGGCTCCCTGCTCCATGGGAGGCCTGCCTCTCCCTCTCCCAATCCCCCCGCTTGTGTTCCCTCCCTGCGTCTCTGTCTGTCAAATAAATAAATAAAATCTTTAAAAAAATAAAATTTCCCTAATTAATGAAAAATGATTTTATATAGTTGGTTTTCCCTATGCATTTTTAAGTAGTTTTAATATAATTGGGCTGTATCAATACAGAACAACTTATATGAGCCATTGAGATTCATGACAAACTAGTTGGAAGACACACCTCTGATCTATTTTACATTTTAGCCGTTCTAGTCTGTAATCTCTATGAATGTATTTTCACACTACGTGACTGCTCACATGATTTTATTCTCCTGGAATGTCCCTCATTTAAATATTTGCTTATTTTTTAAGGCCCATTCAAATCCATTTTTTAAAAAAATTGGTTATTTATCTTGTTGATTGGAGTTCTGGTTGTGAGTCATTTGTTAAGTATCTACAAATGCAAGTACTTTTCCCAGTCTATGGCTTGCCAGTTTATTTTCTTAACAGAGTCTTTTGAGGGCGCCTGGGTGGCTTAGTTGGCTAAGTGTCTGCCTTCGGCCCAGGTTATGATGCCAGGGTTCTGGGATCGAGTCCCTCAGCAGGAAGCCTGCTTCTCTCTCTGCCCCAGCCCCCCAACTCGTGCTTTCTCACTCTCCCGCGTGCGCTCTCTCTCTCTCACAAAAGTAAATAAAATCTTTTAAAAAAAACCTGCAGACAGTTGCTCAATACTTACATCCTGTCAAATTAAACATAATACTCTATGCCGAATGAATGCTTTTTTTTTTTTTAAGATTTATTTATCTGCAAGAGTGAGAACGTGAGCTGGGAGGAGAGGGAGCAAGAACTAAAGCAGACTCCACGCTCAGTGCAGAGCCTGACATGGGGCTGGATCCTGTAACCCAGAGATCATGACCTGAGCTGAAACCAAGAGTCGGACACTCAACCCACTGAGCCACCCAGGTGCCCCCTGAATGAGCACTTTTTTTTTTTTTTAAGATTTTATTTATTTATTTGACAGACACAGATCACAAGTAGGCAGAGAGGCAGGCAGAGAGAAAGGGGGAAGGAGGCTCCCCGCTGAGCAGAGAGCCTGAAGCGGAACTAGATCCCAGGAGCCTGAGACCATGACCTGAGCCACCCAGGCGCCCCAAATGAGCACTTTTTGTTAATGACTACAGGAAGTGCAGTGAGGTACAAAGTGGACTGTATTGTTTTATGGGCTTAAATATATATTCCAATTCTCTTTTCTGCAGGCAATGGCAGCAGATAAAAGTGATGAATGGTTTGCTAGACACAAGATATCAAAGGCTTCGGGGTAACAGAAGACATGATGTGGAACAAGCATTTGTGATTCCTGTCTAACACCTGCAAGGCCTGATGTGTCCATGCATGATAAAGACCCTCATACCTTGCTTGTTTCCTGTACCAGCAAGGAGGCTGGGGTGGTAAAAATCTGTGTGTCTTAATCTTTGAAAGTGCTAAGATATATTTTAGAAATAAAATCCTACTGTCTATCCAGTTAGAGGAGAATGGTTGCCGTAATCAGCACTGTTACTGGAATGGCACGTTCTCTGTGTAACTCTATTAGATTAGTCATAAATTATTTTTTAGATTGGGCAGCTATGTGGGACACTACCTGTGGTTGGAGATGGAGGGAATTTTGATAAGCTTATAGCAGGACTACTTCTGGCACCATGCTGTTCTAATGCCTTCCTCTGGCAGGCCTTGACACTGAAAAATATTAAAGAGGGGCGCCTGGGTGGCTCAGTGGGTTAAACCTTCTGCCTTCAGCTCTGGTAGTGATCCTGGGGTACTGGGATTGAGCCCCAAGTTGGGCTCTCTGCTTGGTGGGGAGCCTGCTCCCCCCTCTCTCTCTGCCTGCTTCTCTGCCTACTTGTGATCTCTCTCCTCTGTGAAATAAATAAAAAATCTTAAAAAAATTTTTTTTAATTAAAAAAAAAAACAAAATATTAAAGAAATTTTGTTCTTAAATCAAGAGATTTGACTAACACCCAACACATTCTTTGCTTTGAAATTCTGAGCAGCCAGAGAAAACAGATGGAAGGAGCTAATGTGCTATGTTGCTACATGCCTGGCTTCATGCTATTTTCCTTATACAATTTTTTTAAATCTTTGTGAGAATTTCAATTTTTTAAATATGGGTTAGATTTCTTAAATATGGATTAGATTATTTCTTCAGCCTGAAAAAAATTTTTTTCAGTGATTTTTTTTTTTTTTAAAGATTTCATTTACTTATTTGATAGAGATCACAAGTCAGCAGAGAGGCAGGCAGATAGAGGGGGAAGCTGAGCAGAGAGCAGAGAGCCCGATGTGGGGCAACCAGGACCCAGAGATCATGACCTGAGCCAAAGGCAGAGGCTTAACCCACTGAGCCACCTAGGTGCCCCTTTTTAATGATTTCTTGTAGTTTTCTATTTGGTTCCAAAGAAGAAATCAGTTTTAATCATTGGAAATAGAATTATATTGGCCATATTTATTATAAATGGTTTTTAGGGTACCTGGGTGGCTCAGTGGATTAAAGCCTCTGCCTTCGGCTCAGGTCATGATCCCAGGGTCCTGGGATCAAGCCCCGCATTGGGCTCTCTGCTTAGCGGGGAGCCTGCTTCCTCCTCTCTCCCTGCCTACCTCTCTGACTACTTGTGATCTCTATCAAATAAATAAATAAGTTAAAAAAAAAGATAAATGGTTTTTGAAAGTATACTTCTTGAATCACGTTGTTACACCAGCCTCTGAGACTCTGTTTAAAATGGTAGTGGCCAGGTTCAGATTTTAGGGAAGAAGCTGAGGAGATTGAAAAGGATTGACTCAGAGGTTACCAGTTCCAGAATAATATATATGAAATCACCTGTGATGTTCTGTGCTGCCAGGAAATTTCAGGGTTTCAGCTCACCTTCTGTTAGGGTAATCTTACCTTCACCAAGAGAAAAAAATCTTTTTCCAGCTCCACGGCACTTTTCATTCAACTTAAACTGTCTTGAGACAGAGTTTCAAAGCAAACCAAGTTATATATGTCCCTTCTCTAGACCATTGGTTCACTTTTTTCCTATTCACGGGGAAATTATTGTATGGATTTTGAATAACACCTGAGGATGGTATGCTCTATTAGAAAACAAGGTTATAAGATGGTTTTTCCCAAGCTGGCGTTTTAAAACAGATGAAGTTGGAAAGTTAATTGGCTTCTCTAGAGTTGTGTTTTCATAACAGTTATTTTGGGTTTTTTTTGCCTTGAGGGTTGAGGAGTTCTGGCATATTAAGTTTAAATTCAAACTTCCCTTGGGTTTAAATCCAGAGAAATTTAGAATGGCTGGGTTGCAAGCGCTCTCCAAGCCAACCCAGGGATTTAGTATGAAATCCATATTTGCTTGACATCTTGGTAGAATTAGCAAAGCTGTGGACATTCACAGCTCCTTTCTGGGACTCTCTGCCTATCTCACCTGTCACATGCAGTTGCCATTGTGGTTTAGCAGTTTTTAGGAGGGTTCCAATTTGTCCACTGAAATTTATGGTGAGAGTTCATGGGTAGTTTCAGTTTGGTCTTAGATTTCTTATCTTTCTGGGAAGTCAATAGGAAATTTACTGTGGCCTTAATGATCAGTAACAACAAAAAAATGCTCTTGTTTTTTTGTTGTTTTTGGATTTTATTTATTTTTAGAGGGCCAGGGTGGGGGCAGAGGGAGAGAGAAACTTAAGCAGATTCCACAGTGATCCTGGAGCCCAGTGTGGGGCTCAATTTCATGACCCTGAGATCATGACCTGAGTGGAAACCAAGAGTCGGTTGTAACTAACTGAGCCACCTAGGCGCCCCAAGAAATACTCTTGCCTCAGACTTCTAAAACAGAGTCAGTGATACAAAAATCAAAAATTAAAAAGATATACATTGAAAAGTCTTGCTCCTACCAATTCCATTCTCTTTGCCTCCTTATTAAGCAGACAAATATATTTATTTTCTCCCTTTTCCCCACAAAATTCAGCATACTGTACACACTATGTATTTTTTAATAATGTATCCTATAGTTGCTTTCTGCAGTCCTAACTGTGGTGCATTTTTACTTTATCAGGTTTTATAGTGATTTATGGAATGGTATGACTTACACCTGCAGTGCCTCAGTTAACAGCATATTTTGGAGCAAGATGTTCCATTATTATTATTATTTTTTTTAAAGATTTTATTTATTTATTTGACAGACAGAGATCACAAGTAGGCAGAGAGGCAGGCAGAGAGAGAGGAAGGGAAGCAGGCTCCCTGTTGAGCAGAGAGCCCGATGCGGGACTCGATCCCAGGACCCTGAGATCATGACCTGAGCCGAAGGCAGCGGCTTAACCCACTGAGCCACCCAGGCGCCCTCCATTATTATTTTTATTGGTAATTCACACTTCTTGTGAATCGGGGCCTTAAAGCATCAAAATGTGCTTGTAATATCCTCCAAAAGAAGAGAGGACAGCACAACTGTTGTACAAAGTGGCTCTTGCCCAACCTAAAATAGTTCTTCAGTCACTGTGACATCCTGGGGATACTTTATTCTCACGTCATGTACTTAGTCTATAGCAACTTCTTGCAAAGACATGAACAGAAGATCCTGAAAATACATGGTGAGATTTGGTTTCCTTTGTCCTCTGAAATCTTTATGGTTGTTGCTTCTGTTGTTTAATGGCCCTTCAGGAACTAAAACTGACCTATCTTAATCTATGAAAATAGTTTCTGAGGAAAAGTGTTGGGAAGGCCCATGCCACAGCAGAGCTTTTTCTCTGAAATGCCTTTAATGATAGCACATAGCTTCCTCCATATCCCAGGGCACTTACTGTGCATCGATGCCTCTGTGATAATTGGCACTAAGGACTGGAAGCTGAGCACAGACACTTTGGCCCTTGCCCAAAGGGGTGTGTTTTGGCTCTTGTCAAGGGGTGTGTTGTGCTTCTAAAACAAACTCATATACACGTATTGTCCCATAGACATTCCCAAGCAGAAACCAGGGTTAGCTACGAACTAATTCCAAGAAAACTTTGGTTGCATGGCCTCCAATGAAGCTTTTGGAGACTGGGATTTTGAAACCATCTGATCTGTTGTTTCTAGTCTGCTGTGTTGTCATGCATCAATTGCTTCACTTGACTTCCCTCAAAATATTAACTCTGTCAGGCCTGCGTTCCAGTAGGGGCTTTTGGTAGTAGGATTTGACTTTAGCTTTTTGGAAACCAAAGCCCTTTTCCCCCCACTAATGTTGGGTTGTAGTGAACGGACAACCCCTGAAGAGCTAAGGGGCCTTGGCCTCCTCTCCTTCTTTCCCCTTTCCCGGGAGGCCAAGCCTCTGGAGAATGGTCTTTTGACCTCATTGAGGCATTTCATAGCATGATTCTTCCCCCAACTTCTCTCCTCCTGCCAAGCATTTGCATATACTCTGGGATAGGAAGGCTGGGAACTCTTATTCAAAATCATAAAGCCAGTTGTGATGGAACTTTCCCTAGAGCAGAGCTGCTTTTTATATATTTTGGACACCTCAGGACTCTCACAGTCACTTTTAGTTTAATCATCTTTCCAACAACAGTCACTCACACTCATGCAGTTTAAGAGATTTATTGATGTTTCTCAGCTATGGTGGTTATGGTTTCGGGATGTCTCAGCCATCGGTCTTTTAAGAAGCCCTTTTCGGTACCAGAGGAACCCTGCTACTTCATTCTGTTTCACACTCTGTCCTCCTTAACCAGTATCCTTTTTCTTTAGTTCTTCCACTTTGGCAACATAGATTCTCATGGCATCCATCTTGGACATCCCTCTGTTCTCGTTCCATGCCTCCCACTTGGCCTTGGCTTTCACATCTGTAGCAGGTGGGGAAGGAATGTTGCAATCGCCCTGGGTGGCCTGTTTGTAGAAGCTGTACACCATCAGTTTCTCCTGATCACTCACAGGTCCCTTCAACTGCTTAATAGCGGCACAGGCCAGCTCAAACTCCACTTGGCACATTGGAGGAGGGGAAGCCCGGCCCCTATGTCCTCTCTAGGTGATAGCTGGTGCTGGAAGCTGGAGGATGGATAGAAACACTGGTGGTTAGTGATTAGGTCAGGGAAGAAGGGAAAGGGAGCACAGGAGACATGGTAATGTGTGAGAAGAACATAGGAAATTCGTGTGTGTGTTCTCTCAGAACCGGGGGCTATTGGATTGGATCTCCCCCACCGTTGCTCTGGCTAGCAAAGTGCATTTTCTGGGGAGGGCAGCCAATAACTCTTTAAAGGCGCCTACGATGCCAGAAAATTAAGGATACTGTGCTGCCGTGAGAAAAGTGCGCTGGGGCGGAGCTGTGGGGGAGTGGAATGTGCGTCTGTGCGACAGACACTCTTCAGGGCAGGAAGCCTCTCAGAATGGCCCATCTGTGCGGGTTAGTGGGCAGGCTGGGGAGGTCGTTCAGTACGGATAAACTGTAAGCGAAGGATCCCGAGGGTTCCTGGATGGTAGCGAACGCAGAGCCTGGGACGGAGCTAGCGGGTAGGAACCTCCGGGACTCACGAAGCTGGTCTGG